CATGCCAAGGGTACCAGCAGTGATCCTGGCAGTGCCAAGGGGCTGCTGGGGCTCTTCACGGGGAACATGAACAGGAGTTGGGTGCAGAAGAAGTAAAATAGCTTTTTTTTTCTTGCACACAAAGCCTGTTCTTATAGCCTGCCTGTGAAATGCCCAGCTTCAGGGCTGGCATGTCAGACAGTCCTCCCAAAGATGCACACAGTTTCCACATGGGCAGCAGCATCAGGCTCTCTGAAGAACCCCCCAAAGCAGAAATTATCGACGTGCTGACCCCATCCCTCTGTTTTTCACCCAATTCCAGCAGGGAAAATGCTTTTTCCTTCACCCCTCCACAGCACACGGGGGAAAAGCCAGAGGATTTTCACCTGCGGGTTCAGGACCTGTGGGAGAACCTCCGCCCCGGTTGGCAACACCTCCGCCCCCCGCGTGGGGTTAAGTGATGCAGAAGGCGTTGTGTGAAGGGCGAGGGTTTGGGTTTTTTTTCTCCCTGTAATGAGTCTAATCTGATTAACATCACCGTTCGCTCCCTTGTGTGGAAACAACACGGAGCCAAATTTAGTAACCATAGTTGATGCCACATCACCCTGGGTACCTTCGCTTGTGGTGCACATCTGGCACCGCCAGCTTTAACTTTACCCTCACCACACTCCACGCACCTCAGCACCCGGCATCTGTGGAGCGCGGGTTTGATCATGAGGCTAAAAATACAAATAAAATCCATCACATCATCAATATATAGATGCATATTTGGTAAGCCTGCCCCTAGTTAACCAAAAGCACAATATTTACCCCAACAGGAAGATTTCATTTGGTCTGCATGTGACTAGGGAGCTGATTTCATTTCCTGTAAAACCACCTCAAATGCTGCAAAGTTACCTGACTCAGCTGCTTGTAGAAATCAAATTCAGTCCGAGATAACAGCTAATCATTTGTCACAGTAAGAAGCAATTCCCCGAAATCGGAAGGGAAAACCTGCCGCTTCAATCCGCAGGTCTGTCAGATTGCTAGAAATTACATTCTGCTCTGACTAACCTCTGCACTTGGATTGCTAACAACAAGCAGCCCGGTCTATCAAAAGAGAATATCATACAACCAGGAACAGCTTTTGATTTGTTCTATTCCAATAACCTGAGAAAAGTTTATGGACATGCATTGCTGCCTAGACCTCAATTTTCACCAACCTGCATACGGTTTTGAATTTATAGCTCCGCATCCCCACAGTAATGTAGGTAAAATTTACAGGCTGATTATCTGGTACTTCATAGGAAGAAAATTAGAGTTGATTTTATAACCGTACAACAGATATTTGGTCTTTGATACTTGGAGTAAGGACATGCAGTTTGGATGCTCCAATTAAAATGAAAAAAAAAAAAAAAATTGATGAACTTTATGGAGAAGGAAGCTTTCAAAATGCAATTTATATTCTTTAGAAATGTTCCTAGCGAGTAAATTAAATGTATACCCTTCTATGTAAACACTATTTGTGCAGCAGTCATGTTATAAGTTTAATAAAAAATGATGTATCACCCCTGTTTGTAAGATTTATAATTCACATGGCAGTAGTGAATCTGGGAGCCTGACCACAATGCATTTTCTATACTTAACTCTGTTATCTACAGTACGAGGATGCTTACAACATTGGCAAAAAGGGGTAAAAATAGTTCGGTATCTTTAGTTGCCTTTTTTTTTTTTTTTTTTTAAGGAGACTCTATTAAAATTGAAAGCTCGCATCTCAAAAGGCCAGAGTTACCCATGGGGTTAATGTTCTTAGCAAGACATGTTTAGGCAAATCTATCCACTGTACTTTTATTAACAGGTAATGAAAAGGTGTAAGTTAAAGTGTGAAAGGACTCTGTGTTTTTTGAAAACAGTAC